GCGAGAAAAAGTGTGATTTAGGAAAAAAAGCCTCTTTCAATAGAAAAAAAAAAAAAAAAAAAAAAAAAAGCTTAAATGTCAGTTAGTGTCGAGGTGTCTAAACAACAAACAAAGGGATGGGTCAGTCTGCTCAGGTTACAGAGCAGCGTGTAGAAATGTAACAATGCGTGTTTGAATGTATATTTATGTATAAATATGTATAAAAATTGTAATGACAATCAAACCTTATTGACCACAGTAGGGTTAGGGCTATTTATACCTTCACAAAGTATGAATCAGCAGCATTGGACTCACGTAAACCAAGAGCAGGCCCTACCTCAAAATAGTGAAGCAATTAAATTTAGATGACAAGATCTTGTTTCATAAATGAAGCCCTTTCAGCTCTGGTTCATTTTGACATATTTAATATCGGAGCGTTTCTTGTCCAATCTCCAAGATCTGCACGTCTCCGTGCGGTTTGGAGAGGATATGGGTTTATTTTGAGTGTCCTTGTGTTTCCATAACTGTGAGAGAGCACAGATCTGTGGGCCGGTCAGGCCTTAGCCGTGCAACACGAAGTGGCCGTGTAACACGATCGGGTCACACTCTCAGCTGTTGCTCTTCAACCGCGGCTCTTCAACAGGGGAACCGTCTCTGGCGAGACACAGGTGTCTACAACGGAAATAGAAATGTGAGGAAAAGGAGGAAAAACACGTTACGTGACGCAGGCAAATTCACCATGTGGAAATGTGATTATACAGATAAAAGCACATATTTCTGGTCGACCTTGATGTCACCCATCTGCCTGTTGTTTGTATCTTCTTAGATACATTCTGCAGTGTACATTAAAACAACAAGAAAAGTTTAAACTGAAAAAAAAAAAAAAAAAAACGATTTCTGAAGTTTGAAATTTTTCATTAGCCCAAGGCAGCAACACCTGGGTCTGTGCGCTGCCTTTTTCATGCCTGGAGTTGTTGCAACACGAACCCTAACATTCGCCTGACTACAGTATACTGAAGCTCTGACAGTTGTACAGCTCAGCATAAAATATGCAGCACACCATGACTGTCTGGAGGCAGATAAATGATCTGAAATATATGCAGGGCAGTAGATAAGTAGCACGAACATTTTTGGCATTTCCTGTACGCATCAGTGTAGCAAATCCAAATGGGGAGAACGTGAAAAGTATGGACCAAGACGTCATATATGATATTTTAAAAAAAAAGTCTTAAACTCATACTAATCCAACATTCATTTGTTTTGATGGATCATAAAGAAGGATAATACAACTTTTAAAAAGTTAAAAGTTCTAATAGCCAGCTGTGTTGCTTTAGGGACATTGCTCTGGGAGCCATGTTTATTTATCGTGACTGATCTGTTGATATTCCGTGCATTTACATAAAACTGGTTCAAATACTAATGTCTGTGTATTTACAATCGCCATTAAGGAAACATGTACCGTAATGAGTTTTTGCACATGCTCCAGCCCACAAAACAGCTGAGTTACTGGAGGTGAAGTGTGTGTGTGTGTGTGTGTGTGTGTCAACCAAGTCTTCTTCTGTTCTGCTTCAGCTCAGAACTGTAACCAAATTAAAGCTGCATTTACTCACATTTTCTTCCAGACTTGTGTTCGGTACACTATATCCTGCCTACTCTTCTTATAAAGCTGTGAAATCAAAAGATGTGAAAGAATATGTAAGTAAATGATTCATAGTGTTCGGTTTCATTTATAAACGTTATAGAAGATCGCCACGTGTGAATCTGTAATCCGTCTTTCTAACAGGTAAAATGGATGATGTACTGGATAATATTTGCCCTGTTCATGACTGTGGAAGTCTTCACAGATATGTTTCTCTGTTGGTAAGTGACCTTTAGATGTTTAGGAGTTAATGAATACAGGGGTAAATTACCTCTCGATCTTTATGCGTTGATCACATAACACACTTTTACTGTAAAGCTTCCTGTCATGTTGTTGTTTATCTCCTGTTGCTACTGTGTGTGTCTGCTGTAGGATTCCTTTCTACTACGAGCTGAAGATAGCGTTCGTGGTGTGGCTGCTGTCCCCTTACACTAAAGGCTCCAGTGTACTCTACAGGAAGTTTGTTCATCCCACGCTTTCCTCAAAAGAAAAGGTGAAATCCCTTCCTTTGTGGATGGATTTCAGGGAAGGATTATCATAAAATATTCTGTCTAGTCAGGGAGGTCTGTGACCGATGACTTTTTCTTTGCTCCGGTACAGTCCTGGGGACAAAGTACTTTTGTGCTCAGTTGTTTGAGAACATCTGTCTTGGAAAAGGAAAAGGAAATGTCACAGTGTTGTACCATCCTGTGAAAAGTTTGGGCAAGTTCTGTAAAAGACTAAAGTCCCAAACTGAGATAATGAACTCAAGCAATTTATGAAGCATGTGTAAACACAGCACAGAAACAGTTTCAGAATTACAGTGAGAGTTACCAGCATCAGGTGATCCTTTATCACATGATTAGGGGCAGTGGTGGCTTAGTGGTTAAGGAAGCGGACTTGGGTCCGGAAGGCGTCAGGTTCGAGTCCACCAACTGCCAAGTTACAACTGAGGCACTGTCCCCACACACTGCTGCCTGGGTGCTCAAAGCTGCCCACACTTTGGTGACTAAACGCAGAGGTCTTGGTTGTGTTTGCAGTGGTGTGCTGTGTCACCATGACAAGGAGTTCACTTTCCTCTTTCCTTTATTCCCTCCTCACAGGACATTGATGACTATATCTGCAATGCAAAGGACAAAAGCTATGACACACTGGTGCATTTTGGGAGAAAAGGGCTAAATGTTGCTGCCACAGCAGCCGTCATGGCTGCAACAAAGGTAAATGACACTGGACGTTTGTTTTAGTCGTGGCACGAAGATGTGAAAAACCTACTGGAACGAATATGTGTTCTTCCTACCTAAGGGCCAAGGCGTCCTATCAGAGGGGCTCAGGAGTTTTAGCATGCAGGATTTGTCTTCGTACAATTCGGACGCTGATGAAAGCAGCTCTGGTACCTCACAGCCCGCGACAGGAGCAGCAGCAGCAGCAGCACAGCAGCATCGAAGCCGAACAATGATGCGCAGCAAGTCAGAGAGCTACAACAAAGGTACGAAGACATTTGATCAAATATTTAAACCACTCCAAACGTTAGAAAACGGGGTGTGCTGGTGACTGACACTCTGGAGTTTCATTCAGAGATGACTACCTGTTTTAGGATCATGTCTGCCCACATATAAACAAATCACCACAGTTTGTGTTGGTCGAACATAAGGATTCCCAAAGTGGGGTGCGTGCCTCCCCGAGGGGGCTTTAGCTGCAACTAGGGGGTGTACAAAATAAAAAATGTGATGGCGGTTTGGAGTGTTTCTATAAGTGGGATTTTTCCCATAATAAAAGAAAGACGTGTAAATAAACTGCATTTTTAAAATTTAATTTAAATTAATTCCAAAGTAACAAACCACGTCACCTGTTTTTGTTTTTTTTGTCAGATATATTTTCATGTACAATTCCGTCTTCCTGTTGGAGCTCGTTTAAGCCAACCTACGTATATTGTCTAATATCTCTGCCTTCCTGAGTGGCCCCATAACCTCAGCCCCGTCTTCCTGTTTGGAGTCGGCCAGACCTCACTGCACTGCCAGCCTATCTGTCCTGTGATAAAACTCACATGTAGCTGCGGGGACATTAACATCATGTGAATACAGATATTTATTGTCTCAGGGAAATACAAAAATATATATGACAATAGTTGCTCTATTGAAGATTCAAATAGAAACACCATCAAGCGACGGCTAAAACTGAGCTACATGAAGTTCCCTGCTGTATATTTTTACAATCAGAAAAAAAACATTCTTTCTGTCAACACCTAAACCTTGGCTCTTGGGGTTAATTTGATTTATTCTGAAACTGAGCTAAATATTTTTCTAAATAAAATTACAAACGAGTTTTATGCAAAATAGAATTTTCTACAAAGGTGATGCACTTGGGGTTTATAGTGTATACTAGGGTTTACAGTAGATGTAGAGTAGAGGAACTGACCAGGAAAGCTAATCAGTTTTTAGCATAACATGGTCTATAAATAATGTGTAAATGACATTGTGTTGAAATGTTCCAGGAACTCCTGGTCTACACAGAGGGCGCTGTCCTTTATATTATAAATGATGAATCAAATATGAAGACATTAAAAAGAACAGTTGAAATGTTCCAGGAACTCCTGGTCTTTACTGAGAACTACACAGAGGGCGCTTTTGTATGCGTGTACTAACCACTGAATTGGTTTTGCCATCATGACTTCCTCCTGGGTGACTGCTCTGTGCCCTGTGTTTTCACTGCCATGAAATCGGTTGTTGTAACACAGAAATTAAATCCACTAAAAAAAATGTGATTGTGATCAGAGACGGCAACTGTTCATCTTTTCACGGCGCAGGACAGGATTTTGATGTAACTGAGTTTGAGGTGTTGGGAGTGGACCAATGTGGCTCCAAGGACTCGGTAGCACAGGTCGTTCTTCCCTCTGAGTCTGAATCCACACCTAGTCCAGTCCCTCTGACACCGCAGTCGAGCCTGCCATCCACACCCTCTCCACCTCCCACTCCACCAGTTCCGGAGCAGCCCAAGGAGGTGGGGAAAGAGGTACAGACTACCATGAGCTCACCACAGCTTAGGCTGATAAAAAGGAAGGCTCCTGAGGTACTTTGATCCAGGTAGTGTGGCTGCTAGGCTGCTGCCTGACTCTAACTGCCCCTTGAGAATGACGGATTACTCACTGATTATGTCATTTCCACGGATGTGTAGCTAAATACATCATCGCGGATCAGTACTCGTGCTAATGTAGAGAGTGTGCCAGCTAACAGGGTTTTCTGGATGATAAAGCTGAACCATGCAGTGAAGTGTAAACACTCTTTAGTTTAAATGAAGGTGTGGTTTTGTAACAACTCACTTGTTTGGAAATGTAGCATGGCTAATCGCCAAACATGGAACTGAAGTGACGACGTGGCTGACGTTCACATTTGTTGATGTGTGATAATAAGGTGTAGTTTTGATTAATGGCTGTGGGAAATGAATCACTAAATTAACCGGTAATAATTAATGCTAATCATTTCATGTTAATGTATTTGGTTTTACATAAACTGACTGTCAAACACCATGAAGAAGCCAAAACCACTTATGAACTTCTCCTGTAAACAGTCTCTCAGAGACTGCATATTATAAAGCGATACGGCCATTTGGGTGTAAAAGCCCCGGAGGAGACTGGAGGTACTGTCGGTTTCGGGAGAACTCAGTTTGATAGGGGAAAAAAATGATGCTGCTTCATAGTGGACACTAGTTTGAGAAATTTAGTCCAATGGAAGGATGCTTTCATGAGTGGACAGACAGCTGGACTGTCCAATAAGAGCCTGATGTGGCCAGCAGCATTAGCATGTAAATGATACCTGATGCTTGCTAACATATCGTTTTAACTCAGTTTTGGTCAACATAGGACTCTACACCTGGGACAGAGCTAGTCTCCAAAGTTAAACGGCCCAAAGACTAGACGCTATTCTGGGGATGTGGCAGATCATTATAGGGGTGGGTCAGATACTGGATAAATTCCAGTTGGAGGGCCAACTGGTACTAACATACTCAGGCCTAAATTTGTCACATTCATGCAGTCAAAATTCACAGGAACGAAGCACAACAACTCTTTAAGTCAGAAACTCATAGTTGGTTTTGGTCTATTTATGGTTTGACAGAATAACTGCTAGAAGTGTTTTGGTAAATAGAAATGTTCAGTTGATCTTAGCTATGCGTTGACTAAATTTGGCTTCTGTTTTATTTGTTTTTTTTCTTACCCAGCCTCCTCATAAAGTCTTAAGGCCTCTCACAAGATCCAGGAGTTCTCTTTCCTCGAACAATGAAGCCATGTGAAACTGTCCTTAAGTCGACTCCAGCTGCCTTCGCTGCAAGAAGTAAAAATACTGAATGGCCAAAAGCTACATGACTGAAGCAGCCTTGCTTTGGAAAAAGGTATTACCAAAGTGACCTATGATGACCCCTCAATTTATAGTACACACTGTAGCTCGGTCTCATGGTAAACTACGTAGGGTTTGTGTCCCCATGTTAGAGAATGTGAATGATGGGGTGCAGATAGCTTCTTTGAGTTTCGTGGGTTACTCTGTCTGTATTCATGTACAGGTTGTGTGAACATCGTCTGTCTAATTAGGTCAATGTTTAGATTCATAAGGTTTGGGTAGGTTTGTGTCTCCCTGGGACAGTATGGTCACCCCCACTACCCAAGAAGTGTCATAAAAGAAGTGCTGGAAATTCTGCACTGACAATTTACCTACTGAGAAGTGAAATATATTTACTTTGACTTTAAAGCCTTAAATAAAGACATCGCAGAGACATAAACACATGACACATCTACATTCTTATTGTACAATCATGTTTGCACTATGATTTAAATATAAAGTTGTGACAGGATTATTAAGGCCGAGAACCATTGCTTTCTTAAAATTATAATTATAATTGCCTGTTAACGTCATAGTGATCAGTTCTTTGGCATGTTAAAAATGTCATGTCATTTCTTTGACAACCCACTCAGCAAAAACATACAAAGACATCCAGACTTTCATATTGTTTCATTGGCCCATAGTCTTTTTCAGAGTGGATTTGAATATTCTTACCAAAAGTTAACATGTGGTATGGTAGCCAGAGACCTTTTTTTGGCAGGAAATTCTAGTTCCTGTATTGGATTTTTCTCCTTAAGTTACTGCCCTGCATACTTAATACTTAATAAAGTGGCCCAATAACGTACACGTGTTCTTACACTTGAGTGGCTGATTATCATTGGTGGCTTTGATGTTGCTGTTTAGTTCTTATTTGGCAGATAAGTCACTGTTCCTGAGAAAAAAAAAACATTTAATTTTTACCCTTAAAAAATTATTCTTATGTCACTTAAGTTTTTGCATGTGGAGTCAAATGTTTTGACAATCTAGTTTTAAAATACTTAATTAATCATGTGGAAGATTATTTGACAAGATGTTTAATAGTAAAATGAGATGTAGAAAAAAAAATCAAAAAATTGAATATTTACTGTATATAACCGCAGTAGAAGAAATCTGAGCAACACAGAAAACAAGAAACTACAATCTCACGGGTGAAGTAGCAGTTTTATTTCTAAATACTTATGTCTGGTTTTGGTAGTACTCTTACCTAAAGATCATTAAACATTAAAGTAAGATACTACCTAAAAAACTCCGACAACTAATGAGGAACTGCAACTTTATGTACGTTTTCATACTTCACTCGCTGAGCCCAGATTCAGGTGACCTTTTACACAACGTGTCATTGTGTCTGTTGTCAATGGTTGTGTTTGTGCAGTAGATTTATAAGTTTAAGCATTAAAAGGTAAACTGAAGTTTGAAACAAAGGCTTCTCAGGTACAACTGTTCTGTTTACAAGACGTTCATTCGCTCGCCCTGCACATGAAATCGTCTTTAGGTGGATAGATCAAAACTATTAAATGCAAAAACAAATTATCTACTCTGCATTTGTAACTGTATTAGGGTTGGGATTTGTTTTCTTCTTCTTGAGTAAAACTGAAACAAATACATGTATCCATGGCATTTGTATACTTGTGCATAAACTGCTGAGCTCATCACTGCATGCATGATGTGTCAATTTCCAGAAAAAATAATTTTCTACGGTGATTTCTGTGTGAAAGTGTCGTCCTCTTCCAATGCTTCCCTGCTAAACATGGACACAATGGTCCTCTTGTCACTTTCACTGTAAAAACCATAATGTTTTGACTTTGTTGGTTTAGCGTACATGCAAATTACCGTCTTATTTATGAGTACATCGGCCGCTTTGTTTTATGAAATACATTGCGCCTCTTTGCTGAGTTTTTGTTCTGGCAGGCCAGAATTTTCAAATTACTAAAACTTAATCTTGATTGCGAAATATAAACTAAAACAATTGGTGTGTATAAAAGCAGATGTATCCAAAATGTAATTGTCAAATGTTTGTGGACAATGCCTTTTTCTTAAATAAAAAAAATCTTCAAAAATTCTAAATAACATATAAAACAGTAATTTTTTTATATGATGTTTTTGTATTGGAGAAAACAACAATTTAAAAAAACAACAAAGCACACAAACTATGTGTAAGCTACGGAACCAAGTTCATTCAGTTCATTTTGAGGTCAAGTTCAGTGACCACTGTGAGGCCACGTTGTTGTTGAATATAAATTAAAGTTTGATTAATTAGCCGCTATTTTCTTGCCATAAGAAATGTATATCTTAATGCATGTTTGAGACAGAGGTTGATCACAAAGGGTGATTGCGGGTGTCAAACTCATTTTGGTTGAGGGGTCACATGCAGCCTGATTAGATGTCAAGTGGGCCGGACCAGTACAATCATAACATAATTACCTATAAATAACAAAACTTTTTTTTTCCTGCAAATAAGTACGAATATATTTGGAAAAAATTATATTTAATGTTATATTTGACAAATCACTAACATGCAGTGTTTGTGCTTTTTTTAGTTCCAACATTCGTCTAGAGGACTGTATTGAACCCCCAAGCGGACCGGTTTTGGCCCAGGGGTCGTATGTTTGACAGCCCTGGTATAGGTGATTGGTTAGTCTGTAATATCACAAAACAGAGATTTACATTCTGCCATTCTTTATATATATATAAAAAAACACAAACACAAACGTACAGCTACTTTTACCCCCAAAAACGTAAAAAATTTAATTAATAAATTAATTAAATTAAATTAATTAAATTAAAATAAATTTAATTAAGTTTAATTAAATTAAATTAAATGAATTTAAACTATCAACAGTCTGACCACTTATTCCCATGCCACCCACTGGGCATTTCTTTCTCGTAGTAAACATTTGTGTTCAGAAATGTTTTCATAAATTGCAAAAATATAATATGGGAAAACCCCAAGAACCTGGCTAACTGCCGCACATTAAAGCCATGTCCCAGTATAAGCGACTACATTTGTAAAATATTATCGTTTATTTTCTTATAAATTCCACGCATTATCTACCTTTACAGGGGCAAAGTGGGGTATATTGATGTCATGATGTCTTCCCAAAACTTTAAAAAAGTTTTGAGTTCTATTTTTACCAATATGTGTTGACGATTTTATGTAACTGCCACCAAAGCGCATTTAACTCAAATTGTAATGACGTTTTTGACTTGTGACGTTTGTCAAGTCGACCGTTAAGCGGCTGTAGACCTATCAATAAGTCTCGGCCTCAGTCTCACTCAGACCTCAGCCAGCTGTGGGACGGTCAGCAAACCTCTGCACGCAGGGAACCTAACCCTAATCATGGACCTTTTCGAGGACATAGAATTGACCATCGCCTCCATCCAGAGAGGAGATGACTCGGATATAGTCCAGAAGGCGTGGATAGAAGCGTTGCTGGGTGACACAACCCAATCTCCTTCTCCACTTGCTTGTGCTCCTCCTTCTTCTCCTCCTCCTTCTCCTCTGGTCAGTTCCAATGACCCGTGGATGGAGTTCCATCGACTTTCACCTCCAGGCCAGTCCTTTGACTTTTCTCTACCTGCTGACCTGTTCGATCCCCAGCCTGCGCCTTTGACGACGGTAGGAAATCGACCTCTAACATTGTTTTTGACTGTTTGGTATTGTACAACGTAAATTGTATTTAAAGTCATTGCACTGCGAAACTTTGAACTAGTTTAAACAACAACAACAAAAAACGTCTAGAGTATTTCTAGCTTTAAACAGCATTAAACTATTTCTGGATTTCAGCGAAAAGTTCATAACTGACTGATTTTTAACTTTCTAACTACTAAACTGTTTCCGAAGAGCAAAAAGCTTCTACAAGATTCGTCATTGTGCATCTTCAAAAATAACGGCTGTTTCTGGCTCGCAAATTTTTTTTTTTTTTTTTTTTTTTTTGGAGAAAATACGTCTAAAAAGAATCTAACGTTTAACATTCTAACGTTTAAAGCTAAACACTCGCCATTTTTTTCAAGTTAAAAATTTTAATTAATAAAGCGTCAGCGTAGTAAAAACTTAGCTAATGCTATTTCCGGACGTTATAGAAGCTTACATCAGATTCGGAAATTTAAAAAAATTAGTTTTGAAAATTCATAAACTTTTAGCCCAATGCTATGGGCTAAATTTGAATTTGTTTTTCCCCCACTTTGGAGTGTTTCTTTGGTATGTTGTTTACTTTTTTGGTTAAGATTTAAGCAAATACATTCAAACAGACATACATTCATTTTTGACTAACTTCTAGCTATCACACACACGCACACACGTATATATATTTTAATTTAATTTAATTTAATTTTTTATTTATATATTTAATTTTTTTTAAGTCATCATCCTATCACTAAATTCCTGTGCATTAATGTATAATTTGTGTAATTTGGTATTTATTGCATTATGGGGAATTCTAATGAAAACTGACAGAATTCAAGAACATTTTGCCCTGACTCCATATTAATATTTTGTATTAATTTCAGGTTGACCTCCAGTCTATCTTAGAACCTGCTGCTGGTGACTCGCTGCTTTACAAAAAGTCTCAGCCTTCACCTCCTCCTCTGGACTCCCTGTGGGCCGACCTCTGTCTTCAACCTTCTGCTGTTGCTGACCAGTTGGATCCCCACCCACCACCATCACCATCACCATCACCATCACCATCACCATCACCATCACCACCACTCCCTCCTCCAACAGTTGATGACTCACCCATAAATCAACCTCAAAAGTCACCTCTTTTTCCTACCCCACCAGATGCACCTGCTGTCCCGCCTGACAATTTCAAGGACAGTCCCTCTGAATCTTTGCCTCCTCCTCTTCCGTCTCCTACTACTACTGTGGATGATGCAGGGTTAGAGCCTAAGTCTTACGATTCTCCTCCTCCTCCTCCTCCTCACACAGGTTATGTGCAACCTGCGCCCCCTTTACATCACACAGCACCCGTTGGGACATTTTATCTTCAACCTCAAGATCCCCCACTTCCAACTCCCATTGCTCAGGCTAACCCAAGTATGGTGTATTATCAGCCACATGTACCACCACCTCCTCCTCCTCCTGCTGCTGCTGCTGCTGCCATGACTCAGGCAGATCTGACAGAGGTACTGTATCTACAACCTCCAACTACCACTGTCCTGTCAGACCCCTATAATGGCCTCCATCCTTCAGTCATGTCTCAGGGTTGTTACCTTCAGCCTCGACCTTGTTCCTGTGGTGCCGCTGGTCAAACTAACCAGTGGTTACTTCACCCTCAGTTTGTCAACAGACCGACCGCCCTGTTGCCAGGGAACGCGATTCCTGTACGTATATCCAATGGAAAGCTTGTGTACAGCAATCCACCAATGATCCCGGGAGACATCAACCCTACATCACGCAAGAGGAAACAGACCAGAGTGAAGGATGACGATGGAAAGCCTTACATCAAGAAGCCACCCAATGCCTTCCTGATCTTCATGAAGGAGCAGAGGCCCAACGTCATAGCAGAGCTTCAAAGTAGGAACAACGCTGTGGTCAATGCTATGTTGGGAAAGAGGTGGGCCGCCCTGCCCCAGGAGCAGAAGCACGTATACTTCCTTGAAGCTGATAAACTGAGAGTTCTTCATGAGCAGCAGTATCCTGACTGGTCATCACGTGATAACTATGGCAAAAAGAGGAAGAGGGAGAGGAGGAGCAGCTTTGTCCAGTCTCAGTTCACTGGCCAAGATGTTTGTTCTACATAGAAACACATCATGTTGCTTTGATGTTTTTAAATTACAGTAAAGCCCACTAAATGGTGCTATTTTAAAGAACAGTTATATTATGACTTGTTTAAAAATGCCAAAAAAATATATAAATATTTGTATTGTATAATGTTTGTTTCTTGTTTGATGGGGCATTTACTTTTAACTCTAAAATTGTATTTTGACGTTATTGTTGATAAAATTATTATTGCACAAAAAAATGTATTTTAAATATATCTCATCAACTTCAGCCTCAATCACAGTCAATTTTGACTGAAAAATGTATGAAAATGTATGCAATGTTTGTATGGCAAGAATTGTTTGATTACATGTGATTTACTTTATTGTTGTAAGTGCACCTTATTTACAAAAGAAATGTCACTTACGCTAAACTTTGCCTTTTGTCCAGAGTGGTGCTAGGATATTTAAAAAACCAAAGAAAAACTTTAAAAAGGGAAGTTCAGCTTCCACCTCGACAGGTCTTCCAAAAAAAGGCAACATGAACTTTTGTAGTTATTCCAATGTATACATTTTATTTGGTTAGATTACATTACAACTCTATATTACACTTTCAGGTTTACCCTATCGTGATATTTAAAGTATGGATCATCCAGATACCAGTTCCTCCTCTTCCAAAAAGGACCTGTCATTTTGTCCAAAAGTTTAGACTGTGTTTTGTTACAGAATACGATCTGCCTCAGGCGTCCTCGTCTGGCAGCACTCTTCTTCCACAGTTTCTTCTTGTATCCAGCCTGTATTAACCAGAAAACAATTACAGATTTTTAGAGTGGTTCTTAATTTCTTTTAAAAGACAAAAATGAGTAAGTAATAATTTAATATACTAAGGCTGTGGCTCTTTCCTAATGTTTTAATTGTGATTACACCTCCATGTTCACTTCATGTTTTTCTGATTTCCTGTGACAAAACCCCAAAATGAGCTATTGACATTAAAGCTAAATTACAAAGTTTCAAATTACTTAAACTGATGACCCTGGGTGCACAGATTTCTCAGGGTTACCAGATAATTTAAGCACTTTTAGATTAATTAATCCAACTCATTAATCTACTATGTTGTTCTAAATATGGCCTGTAATATTAGGGTTTTGATTACCATTTGAAAACTGGTTTGTCCCATGTGCCCTTTCAAAAAACCCTAATCTGACTGTCATTAGTGAATAATGTAACAATTAGCTTCTTAAATGCTACAAACCACTGTGTATGTCCACTGAATGTGTTCCCACAATAAAACAAACCATGCGTCTGATCCACAGTCCACAGTGCAGCCTCATGAACCTCTGTGTGACAGCTTTGACAGATTTCCTTTTTCCCTTTCTAACACCATAGTATGTCAGACATCGACTTGGTTGGAGATTTAGACTAGGAACAAGAGCAGATACCCTGCAGCAGCACGAAAAAACACAATTAGGATACATACACAATTAAAAAAAAATTATAACGTACATCAACTGATAACTACAACATTTGAATAAAACCTAAAAATTGATTTAAATTGTCTGTTTGAAGTACAGCAACATAACAATAATAAACAACACTGAATAAGAGTTGTATTAATAGCACTGAAAGAAATGGCAGCCATGTTTTTTCTAACTTTACCGTTGCAAGATGTGGTACCGTGGCGTGTGACACAATACCGCCGGGAAATGAGCGTGAGCAGCGGCTACGGTAGAGCCGCACACCGGGGAAGGCCTGAGGAAGCTGGAGAACTGACGCAGATGCGGTGTCCCGGCACGAAGAGTCGCGCACAGCGGCTTTAACATCACTGTCAACCACAAGGACGACACAGAGACATGAGGGAAGACACCATGGTAAGGAAGACACCGCCAGTGTTTAAACGTTTATATTTCTAACAACCGGCTGGTTCTACGGTTTATTTAACTTGCTACATAAACATATGAACATAAACATTACGATTTTCAACATTAAATTATTAAATACTAACCAGACGTCCTCCTGGCCAATGCAGCCGCCATGTTTTCCTGCAAGTACAGTAGCCTATAAGGAAAAAGTTGTTGTTTTTTTTCTTTAGCACCCTCTAGCGTCGGTTACTGTATACAAGCTGGATATTGCATTGGTATCTTTACTATTTTTGCACACATTGCAGCTGAAGGCACAATCCAATGAAGCGACTGTATACTCAGTTGTATTCATTAAAAACTCTCTTTACAACAAGTATCATTCTAAATGATGGCCACATTTTATTACGATTGAGACGTTGACATGACGCATCTTTGAGTATTTAAACGTTCCTAAAACAATGCAAATGACATACTTTAAAACTCCATTGATTGTCCAAGTCAAACACCCAGAATACCTTCATGTTAAACTTAATTGAAAGAGCATTTCAGTCACATGTCAGTCTAAAACAGGCCACAAGAGATCTACACAAGATGTCCCTTTGTTGCTGTTCACTGTAGTGTCATTGTACTCACATAAACATTCAAAGGCCATGTTGTAAATTCATATAAAGCCAAAGACACCCCCACCATAGGAAACATTAAATTAAAAAAAAATAAGAAAAAAATAAGAAAGATTATTTTTAAATTATTCTCTGTGAATTAAAATTAATATCATTTTCTTAATTTAGTTTTTTCAAAGCAAAATAAAAAATAAAAAACTTTTCAAAATTATGGCAACGTTCAATTCAATCATTTTTATTTTTTTCTTTCAAAACATACAAATACAATCTTAAAAAATAATTGAAAGCAAATGCAGAAAACACATCATACCAACACATGCACACATAGACACAGAGGAGTGCAGTGTTAATTGACTACTGTCATGAAAAAGGCTTCACGTCATGTTATTTTCACCACTCCAGCAAACCTCACATAATCCAATGGCGTACTTTACAAAAATTAGTTTATCTCTGACTAGAACAGCTGTCAGTCTGTTAAACATAAATTAAAAAAACAGCCCACAATAAAGAATTCCTGTCTACAACTGTTAAAACCTGGATTGGATTTTTAAAGTGCGCAGTCTTTATGCAAGGATGAGATCATCAGTTCTTTTAACTGTCTTCTCCAAAAGTGTGTTGTCTTGTTGTCCAACCAGGCCCTTGCTGTGGTAAAAGTCAAGCAAAGTCTCTGGTTTCACCAGCCGGCATAGACTGGTTCTGCATCACAGTGGAATCCATAGTACCGACCTTGAGGTCGTTCTTTGCATAATAAAGGAGTTCGAGCTATCGTCAACTCTCCGTCAGTGTCCTGCCGTCGACGCACAATAATTAAGATAATGAAGAGTAGGGCAACTAGAGAGGGAAGAGTGTAAGAAAAAAAAACTGTTACAGAAGAAAACCATCACAGCAGGACACTGGGGCTGAGGACACACACAAAGGTAGACTGTTACAGAAGAAAACCATCACAGCACAACACTGGGGCTGAGGACACACACAAAGAACGCATGACTCTTATTTGGGTAGATTTTTCGTGATTTTTCTCGATTGATTATTATATTTTAAAAAAAGCTGAACTCATTGACTGAGACCAAGGCACGGGAAAAAAGTTTATAAGCAATAATTATATACACTTAATGTGAGAACTAGCCTTATTATTCATTTAAATGAACACATTTAAATTTGATTTAAATATTCAATTTTCCATTGAATGTATTATTTAATAGATTATTTAAAAAATGTAATAACTTTTATTAAATTAAATTGTATCAAATAGTTTAATATATTTTCATTTAAATGTAATATTTCCTTTTATTTTTACTTTTTTCTGTGCCATTTTTGTGTATTCCTTTAGACGAGTAGTTTCCATTCCTGCCATGTCCTGCCAAACATGTAGTTATTTCTGTACTAATTTTGAGTAATGTTTTTTATATATGTATAAATGTCTCATATATTTAATATTTATTTTTAGACTAAGTAGTCTAAAGTTGAATCACTACTCAAACAATTTAAAATATTCAGTTAAAAAATAAGCATCAGCTTCAGTCAAACTAAGGATTTCATTATTTATATTTACCTCCACCTGCTATAACTAACAGGGCAATTGTGACAGGGGCCAGTTCACAGGTGTCCCCTGATTTCCTGAAAAATGTCTCCATGCAGTAGCCTGGAGCCGAGCTGCCCTCCGGACAGAAGGCATCACTGGGACATAGAATGGGGTTGACATCAGGACTCTAAAAAAAAAAAAAAAAACACAGGTAAAGTGATAAGTGTGAGAAATGTAAAAGAGATCAATAACACATTGAAGGTGGAGAATATAAGAAGGATTGTGATACTAACAGGACAGTAGTGATTCTCTGGGCAGACAGTACAGCTCTCCTGGCCCCAGTGAATTTGGTAGAAGCCACTGCCACAGATTTGACACAAAGCCTGATGTGGAGCCTTGTGCATACCTGTCAAAAGTTAGACATCAGAAATTTGCTTTGGTAAACACACTTACAATTAAAACACACAACATTGATGTAGACCAGGCATGGGCAAACTAAGGGCAAAGTTTTCCAAATTATATAATTTATTTCTATTATCATTATACTTCTGCCTTTTCCCTGCAATATCCACGTTTCCCTAATAGATGGCGTAGAAAATAATAAACGCATCTTAGCATTTTAGCCTTAATGCATGACCTTTACATGCCATTTATCTTAGTTCACACTAACGGTCCATCTATTTAGATCTAGTTTCCATCTAGTTTGCCCACGTCTGATGTAGTCTTACCTGGTCGACATGGGGTGCAGTCCTTGGCAGCAATCTGTAGAGCTTCAGTTCCTCCTGGACACATCTGGCAACGAGAACAACCAGAGGAACTGTGGGAGAGACAGAGTGTGAATCTGTAATTAGTTTCCCTATGATATCTGTGGTGTAGTGTAATTCTTCTTGATACATAAGTATAAAGTAGTTTTAGTTTTAATTCATATTAAAAGCTATTTAAAAACAATCACATTTTAATCAAAACACCACTGGAAACCAAGTTAGAAATTAATTCTAAGAGTTTTCGTCGTTTTATTGTGGATTTTATCTTCATTAAAGTTTTATTTATTTTGTTTTATTTTACATTACTCTATTTTTACCTCTAAATCGATACCTACTCTCTACTTTTCTGTTATGTCCCTCTTGACTTTCCGTAGCTCTCTGGGTCACCGGTAGCCCCTTCTGTGTTCACTCACTTTATTGTTTTCAACTAATAAAGGTGAGTATTTTTTATTTACTTAACTCCTATGTGTTGATCTGAATGGTAAATTTTGCTTAAATAACACTTGACAACAATTGCGCGGTTTGGCGCCATTCGGCCACCCCGTGTCACGTGACAGCACTACAGTAACTTGATACTAAACTTTCCAATTTAAAGTTTTTGTTTCTGTATTTCAAGGGTGAGGTGTGCAGTAGAGGCAAGAATACAAGAAATGTCCACTTATCGTCACCTACAGGTACGTGTTTTTACCCTTTTTTTGGGGTTGTAGCTGCTTTTTGATTCATCCACTGGGTGGCACTGGTCGTTCATTCTCTGTATTGCTTTTCATCGTTAATTGTTTTAAACAGGAAAAACAGAATTTGTTGTGTCCTGCGATGTTCAAACCTTCTGTCTTTGTATATTACTATATTTAGAATACTTTGTAGGTCCGTTTACTGTATTGTCTGTGTATGACTTTACTATAATGCATACTTGAATACACAGAAGATAAGAGATGTACAGCTGGAGGTAATTAAGTTTGCTGCTTCAATAAGAATTAGCTACTAGCTAACTGGCCTTAGCAGCGCAGGTAACGGTTTTGACATCCTCAAATAACACCATAAACGAAAAGATCAGTGTGTTACTAGCTGTCAGACAAAAGCACACACAATATGTTGTACGCTTTTATCAAATAGTTTTTCCAAATATGACCAAATATTAACAAACCAGAGATGTTTTTATTAAACAAAAAAACAAAACCACAAAGTTTTTTGTTTCCATGCTCATTACCAGCCAACTTGGCCAAGGTTTGTGTGCCATTAAAAATGACCCAACAGTAATGAAACACATAGCACAACCAGACTTTAATGGGATGAAACAAATAAATGATCCTTCCTTGTAAATTGTGTAGTTGTCAGTAGTAGTTGTTTTTTTGTTTGTTTGTTTGTTTGTTACGTATTTACAAAATGGGGCGCTGTAGAAAACGTTTAGGAACCACTGCAAATGTCCACATTAGATCAATCCAGTTAAAATCGATTCCCAAGGCTTGATACTTTAACTTACGGGTGGAGTTCAGAGAAACCTCCTTATCCTGCTCCTTTGATCAACAAGCCGCTGTACTTCTGTATAAATATAATGACAAAAACCTGCCCCTGAAACCACCAAGGCTTGATTATACATGCTACGTGTGTGTGTGTGTGTGTGAATGTGGATGGGTGTGTCTTCACTGGCAAACAGAAGCATGAGATTGAAGCATGAGATTGAAGCATGTGACCGTTGTCGGGCAAGTTATTTTGCAAACACAGAGAGCTTCATTCACACTGCTCGTGTTCTTCCAAACTTTAAATAACATCCAAGGAGAACTCACTTACTTGCAAAAACTTCCCAGGACACAAGGTGTGCACGAAGTGGAACTCAGCTGCGAAGAAAAGAAACCTGGAAGTGACAGACACCAGTGAGTCAACCAGTGATTCATGTGGTTTCCCTGAGTTTTCCATTATAATGATGACCTTTAGTTTGAACACAATGATACGGTCGCCGTCCGTATCATTGTGTTCAAACTAAAGGTCAAATTGTTCAACTAGGAAAAAGGCTATTTTGGGTCTGAAAGAATGTAAATGCTAAAATGGTTACTGGAAATACTGAAAAACCCACCTGGAGAACAGCTGGTGCAGCTCTCCACACCAGTGTTGTTGCTGGAGGATCCTACAGGACAGGGGTAACACAGTGGACTTCCTGTAAAACTGTGCAGAAACAGTAGAGTTACTTAACAATTTCACATTAAAATTAATATACATATATATATTTAAATATATACGAATACATATATACTGTATATGTACATATGTGTGTGTGTTTATATATATATTTAAATGTTTTTATTTTTATATTTCATGTTATAGATATGTGTGTGTAATTGAGTATATGCTCTTACATTGTAAGACAGTGAAGTTACTTAACAATTTCTCATTAAATTGTATATACATATACAAATATATATATACTGTATATGTACATATATGTGTGTGTTTATGAAATGTTTTTCTAGATGTGTGTGTAATTGAGTGTATGCTCTTACTTTGTGTAGGTGCCCCGGTTGCAGGGTAGACACTGCTGCTGTCCAGCCAGTGGCTGATAGAAACCTCGGCCACATGCCAGACACGCTCCAGGAAAGAGACACAGCCCAGGGTCAGAACAGCATGCACACAGCAGTGTATCTACAACAAACAAACAAACAAACAGTCTCTAAACTTTGTCTTTGTTAACCACACTTTCATGTTAAAGTACTAAATCTTTAGAGCTTTTTAGTGGCTATCCAACATTGTTAATATGCAGAGGCTCAGTATGACCAGCTTCATGACTGACTGTAAGAGGCTGTTAATGTCATGTAAGGCCTGTGGACTGATAAGGTCCCCATCAATGATCTACCCACCCCCTGTAAAAAGCCAGCCCACAGACTCACTGTTGTCGTATCGTGATCCTGGTGCACAAGGCTCACAGGTGGAAGTGTTGAATTCAGAGCAGCCTTGGGTTGTGCTGCTGACAATCGCAGTAGTCGGACTCAAACTGGTCACATTCTGGATCAGAGTGGTGCTGGTCACAGCAGGGGAAAGTGTGGTCTGACTCCCCACCAGACCTAGAACAGAAATAAAGTACACAGTTTAAATACCTACCAGAAACCAACAGTCGCTCTGGTATCTTATGAATCGAGGGCAACCGAAAAAACAGAGTTACAGAACTTAGGATTAGTCCAAGAAGTGTCAAAGTCCATTTCAGTAACAGAGAAAGTTCATTTTAACAGGGTTTTCAGCCCCTGTGGGTGATGTTGTAAAGTTAATCATTTCTACTAATTTTTCAGTAACACTTTAGTTAAGGTACTGCCAAGATCCTTTAAGCTAAATTTAAATACTTCAAAGACCTCAAAGATGTATTTCAGACAACCTGTTGTTTTCCCCCAAAGAAAATGCCGTAAATTCACAAAGGATAAATGAAACATATACTCAATAATAATATTAACGTAAGAAAAATAATTCAAAGTAGTTCTTTTTTTCACATTATTATGTATTGATTTGATTGTGTTATGGTTCGTTCTACCAACTTGTTGTAGCTGATGCACAATATTTTTGGGTAATTTTTGTGACTTGTTACTAGTAATCCAGCAGTTTGAGGAACAATGTTGAGAATCAAAATGTCGTCCAAGCTCTAGCCAATTGTTAGTTACCAACATTGATGACTGTGAGGAAAATAATCTTTTTTTAAGCAACATGATTTACGGGCTGAAGCAAAAGGAATCTGGAAGGTCATTTTCTGAGTCGCAAATCAAATGGCAGAGTTTCAGAGAAAAACCGTGTCATGTGAATTTCCCTGGTAATTTCATGCATGTAGAGAAGGGGAATTTTGCACTGAGCATCTACAAATTTCTGATCTCCTCATTTACATGGCCCATCCTTCAAACTTGATGACAAGTATTTCGTAAAGAGTAGTAGTAATAAAAGTAGTAGTCGGGATAATGTAACTCTGTGGTTCACACTCCATACTGTTATGAAAATGGTTTGTGGTGGTTGCTTGACTACGCCTGTTTTCTCGAGATATTCTTAGTTCCTCCAGGAAATCAGAGGCATAACATTCAGCCAGGGCACCAGGTATGTTCACATCTGAACAACACAGCCCCGCATTGTGCTGGTAATCTCTTTAGCCACGTACTATGTGTTTTCCTGAATTGGACCCATCCTTCTCATGAGATGAAATTACCCTGAGCCACAGAGGGAGTCATGTGATGGCTGTGGTCCACTCTCTGTGGTCCACTCATTTTCCTATTTAGACTGTTGTAGTGGTAGAGAAAAACTAAATATATATTAAAAAATACATGGTAAATGTTAGTAGATTAACATTTATAAATCTGGAACACAAAAAATAAATGTTCAAAAAAAGAAAGTTTAGTACTAAGTAGAAAACTAGTCAGAAATAATCCTGAGCTTTAAAAGAGAGAAGAAAAACGTATTGTTAATTTGAATCACAACACAACCCCCTCTTAAGATTCCGGTTGATGTGAAAGGATATTTTGGTCTGTGTAAATAAACACACAGACTCCAAGACTCAGGCAGTGTCGACTGTTGTGGTCCAGCTCAGTGGGAGACGAGTGAAAGATCTCACCTAAGAAGCAGGCAGCAGCGATGGCAGACAGAAAACCCCGACACTCCATCCTCCTCAGATGATCAAATTCAGCCACCAGACATTAACAGTTTACAGCATCTCATCCCTGATCAGTCCTCCAGCTGCTGTTTGGTTTTTACTGAGGGTGTCAGCAGCAGCAGCAGCAGCAGCAGCTGCTGCTCTCCTCTCATCAGAGTCATATGACAGAAGTCATCATGTGATTTTGCTTTAGAGGAAAATGTGAACAAAAACGGGCAGGGATTCAGGCAGGGACTCCTGGTATCATAAAGAGTAGCCAGCAGAGGCGCTGCTGCTCTTAAATGTTGTGTAAAAATTCTCTCGTTCCTGATTTGACGGAACAGGTTCTAAACCTTAATTTAATTCAAACAAAAAAAAATAGTTTCTTTTTAGTCGAGGTAACACAATACCCAAACTAGTACTACTAATAATAGTAACTCGTAAGATTGGGGAAGAGAAACTTTCATCAGTCACAACCACTTCATTCAAGTTTCTATTTCACACACACACTGGTTTGTAGATGTAAGGAAATGGAAAAACACCAAAGATACAGCAATGACATTGGTATATTTGTTTTTAAAACAGCCATATGTGTCCATGTCAGGTTTCAAATGTCATGTTTTAAATAATTGTCAGAAACATCGAGAAAAATCAGGTTTAAACTACAGTATCTACACAAGTCAAATATAACTCATCAGTCATCAGAGAGTCCACCACTTTTATAAGACGACAAATTAGACTTGGACAACAAAATTAGGCTTAAACTTGACCTGTAAAAAACAGGAGGGGTGGGGGCGTAAGTTCAATGACACCCACTCTTGAAACTCTAGGACTAAAAAAAGGACTGAAATTTGTTATTTTTTAAAATTAAATTTGGATTCTGGCCTAAGCTTCTCCAGGGACTTTGGCCCAGACACATTCTCACGTTGAAGATTTCTTTCAAACTATCTTCAAACTATCTACTTCAGAAACTAAAATATTGTCTTGTGACTCACTCAAAATATTCTTTCATGCCTCGGATTTATGAGCCAAACATAACGAAGTATTGTCTTTGTAAATTAGACTCATAATTGAAGGTTTTGAATTTTTTCTTAACCCCCAACTTCTCTTGAGTACTAAAGACTGATCACTACACATACAGTACACATGCAGACATCCTGTCTATACGATACAAAGTAATTATTGGATTAAATAAAGTAAATAAATAAGGTATGTGGACATTTATCTACATATGGACGGTTACCATGCTGTTATGACTTATAACCTATGAAATACAAATGCCCTCCTGGATCTATGTACAGAACATTTACATTATATAAAATTCACACAAATCTGTGATTAGTCATTGGGTTTTGACACCGTAAAGGAGTGGTTGATATTCACAGGCCTTGTGGTTAATCTGTGTTTGTTTTGTGGAACATTTTGTTGCTAAGGGTTGTCCTGGATGTGGCGCTCTAAACACTGCTGCAGCTCCTCCATGTTTTTCCTCTTTTCACTTTTCTAGAGAAATAAAAAAAAAACAGAGATGTAACAGAAATTAGTTTGATATGTACAAATATATATATTGAGGTAAGGTAATTAGAATTTAATATATTCTTATTTTTAAGCTAAAAAATTATATAAGTTTCACCTCTCATCCAAGAGGCTTCTTCAGTTCTTCTACTTCAGAACTGAAGAAGCCTCTTGGATGAGAGGTGAAACGTCTTCATGAAACCTACTCCGTCCAGTTGCCCTCGATGTAACTATTTTTAGATAAGATGACCTGGACGACTGAGGACCTAAACAGACGTCTCCGTACATACACACAACTCAAGCCAGTTTGTCAAAAACGTATAGTGTAATTTCCAGATGGCTAATTTATGGATTTTTATGAGCTAACAAAGTTCGTACAGCTAGCGATCATTGACTTTTCTGCTAGGCTACTGTGTGTTATACTAGTAGCGTACAGTATGTCTGTAAATGGCTGTGTGCTTATGTGTGTGTGGGGCGTGAGTATGTGAACGGTAGTGAAAGTTGAGAGCAGTTGTCGTGTGTTGTGTGTTGGTCATACAGGAGCTGTTAAAACTCTGTTTATGTTCTGTTGTGCTCGGTGTGGCTGATAATAAAGAGCCCAACTTTCCTGTTTCTGTTGACCTCTGCTGCGGCCAAGCACAATGTGAAGGGAGTTAGCCCCACAGCTAATGTTAGCTTCGGCCCTGGAGCAGATCACTAAGTCTCCCCTGTGAATCCCAGCTACGGTCGGGGCTCTGAAGCAGGGAAGAACTAACGTGTAACCAGCCGTGTTACAGGAACTGTTTGGGAAAAAGCATTTAATTAAAAGTGAAACAAAACTTTTTTGTGTAAATATCCCATGTTACAACATGGACACCTGAGGTGTATAGACAAGTGTGGCGTATATATTAACTTTTTTTTTTAATTAAGTGTGTGCGGCCTATATTCAGGTAAATTACGGTACATGTTTACGTACCTCCGGTGGTCTGCCTTTTGTGGGGTACTTAGAGGTTGGTCCAGCTTTGCTTTTTTCCATTTCCTTCTGTCTTTGCCTCTCTTGACTTAATTCCTCGTGCTGCTTTCGCAGGGCCACATTTCTGTCACTCTGCATAACTTGTTCCTTAAGTTTTGCTTTCTTTGCCCTCTCTTCCTCCTTCCTGCAAAACACCAAAGAAAACAGTGTCAGTGTCATACCAGTGTGTGTACGTGGTGCCAATGATTGTCTTCCTAACTTGATGGCCGCAGCGATTGCTGATGCTTTCTGTTGGAGACTGAAGCTCTCCAGCTGCTCCGTTTGTTCCAGCTGCAGCCGCTTCTTTGCGTCCCTCTTCTCTTGTATAGTCTTTCGTTTGTCCTGCACCTTTGATTGCTCCGTCGCTTTAATTTTGGAAAGACGCACCTTGAGCTCAGCTACTGACATCTCCCCTAAGAGTTTATGTCCTCCAGTCTGGCATAAGATGAGATTAAATAAAAAATAAAAAACAAACTGCACAAGACAACAAACAACATTTCCTCTTGTTCCATTTTATACCTCTGTATCGTCATAGAAGTTGGCTCTGAGGTGAGGAAGTGACTCCATGATGCTGATTTCACGGATAAGTTGGAATTTTTTGTTCATTTCAGCTTGTGAATCCTCCAGTGCTTGTCGGAGTAGCTTTTTACTTTCTCCTGAAACCTCCCTCACTGTGAAATTACCGTGACATCGATTGGAAAGCGGAAAAAGCAAATCATCAATTCAGCCTCAGTCCATGCATTTCTTTACAAACTAGTATCACATGTACTGGAAGCTCAGTATTTGAGAACCCAAACATAGTTTTGTAAGAAATATTGAATAATTACTTATGTTCGATGGATGGATGAATGAAAAACAAATGAATAATTTGAAATTGGTAGGACAGTTTGATGGATGGACAGACCAAAGAATAGAATAATGGAATGGATCATGGAAAAATGGCTAAAGTATGAATGAAAACATCATTTGGATGGATTGAAAACTAGCTGAACGAATTGATAATGTATGAAAACATGTATAAAAGATGAATGAAACAGGAATTCAGTGGTTGACGTACCGATGCTTTGTTTGAACCTCATCAGCTTGTCTTTTGCATCTTTGGAGTTCTTGCGTCCTTCGGCCACATGTTGCATCAAAACTCTGATCCCCTTTTCCTCCGTCATCCTTTTGTCTGCGTACCTCCGCATCAGGGAAGCTTTCTACACAACACAACCAGGTGATAACATTTTAGTGTTAGGTATGTCGATTTCAATGGCTACAGAATAGCTACAGTTTCTCTGATTCTTCTGGAACCAGTCCCCGGATCTCCTACCCCTTCTTTAATGGTCTGCACAGCTTTGTGGTTGCGTTCCATCATGCGTATGCGAGCCACAGCTGCCCTGTCGTGACTGACGTATCCCTCCAGGTGCTTGCGCTCACTCTTGTCCATCTCCTCCTGAAGCATCTTCTCCCGCATCTTCTCCTGCCAGTGTAAGAAGGAGGAGGGCTCGTGTCCCCCTTCGATCAAATCCTTTATTCTGTCATGTAAACATAAACACTGAATGTACAACATTTACACAGGAACACCATCTAAAAAATGTACAATACCCTAAAATACCCTAAAACATAAAAGTTCTCAACCGACCTCTGAAGCTCTTTCTGCTCCTGGTGGTTACGTAGCGCCACCTGCCTCAATTTAGCAGCACTGTTGAGCTTTATGGGATAGGTGGGAATCTAACAGTATTGTCAAAAAAATAAACAGAATACAAGTGAATGTACAGTAGGTTGTATGTTGGTAAAAAGAAAAGGAAGTAGAACTTAATCATAAAATGACCCAACGTTAGCTTCAAAGATAAAGTCAAAATGAAGGTTAAATGTAGCGAAAGTGTTCAGGAACAATCAAGAAGACGATGAAACTGGAATAGGTAAAAAAAAAGAAAGTGATAAAATTACCATGCAAATATGTCTTTTATGAGGAAGAAAGGTCAAACTACAGTATGTGTACTTCATTCATTGGGAGAAACGAAAACGGTTTGAAGCAGTAAAATAATCACCTCAGTACTGCGTGGAGGTTTGGAGGAATGGAATTGGAATTTGTACTTCGAATCTATGTCTTCTTTAATCTGGGACATCAGTTGCTGTAACACAGGTAATGATGAAGCAGCTGTTCAAAAACACACACGGACATTAGTGTGTCATATTTCCCATTCACAAAAAACAAACAAAATCAATACCATGGTGCGTTCAGACTTTTCTGAATTTGCAAGTCTGAGCTGTCTCTGCCTTGTTTCCTCCAGCAGTTCCTTTGATTTAGAAAAAAACAACAACAACAAATAGACACAATGTTGTCAACAAAAATGTTACTGTTGGTTCACTGTAGGATTGTTTGTCTTCTAAACATTTGTTTCCATTATTATTTATGATAAAAGCTACAAAAGCAGTGGTTGTACCTCAGATCTTTGGTGGTTCTTTTGTTTTAGCTCCTCTAATATCTCCATCTCTTTAGGAGGTCTGTAGGTGCTCTGTGGGACCTGAAACAAAGACGTACGTCAGTGAGTCATGGTGAGGTGGTACAGTCAGCATGAACCTGCACTGAGCTCTGACATCAGATTGGGAATGTAATGACAAATGCCTCAAAACCTTTTTACACAACATTACAGTTCTACTTTGGTCAAATGTAGTACTAAAAAATTTAGAATAATACTAATACTTTAGAAGAGTTTAAGATATTCCAACCAGACCAGAAATGTTTTAAAATTAGCCAAGAGAAGGTAGACAGGTAGATAAAGGAAAAAAACAATCAAAAATAATTACCAACAGCTAAAATTCTACATATAATAGTATAACATACTAAAACTAATAAAGCTCTAAGTAATCCAAAATGGATGGAATTATGTGCTTAAGCACATAAATAGTCAGAATTGTAGAAAGTTTGGAAAAGCGGAATTAATTTAGACATTAAACTTAGTTGTAGAATTGATCAAATTGAGACAAAAAAGAGATGAATACTGGTCTAAAGATGGTGTTAGCCAATAGTGTTAGCCAATAGGTGGCTACGTATTCTACTGTGCATTCTGGACCTACAATAGTCCGGAATGCACAATATGAAAAACCAAAAATAAACAGTCAGTTATTATACATAATAATAACAATAATAATAATAATAGTACAGTATGATAGTACAATAACTTTTGGAAACACTATGACACACTAACTAACCGGTTTGGTTTTTTCCATCACTGGAATCTCCTCAGGCATTGGCAAAGGTCGAGGTTTAGGTCTGGTGATAGCAAACTCCTGAGGTTTGGTGGTTCTGACTGCAGGTTTTTTGAGCTGGGATGCACACGTCATTCCAACAGAAAGCTGATTTACCAGAACCTCAATGTCAGGGCGCCATCTAGTGGTGGGGGAATAAATGTCCCGTTTACCTATCTGAGTGTTAAACATTGCCAGCAGAGGTCATTTATTTTGGTCGTCCCTCCTACCTGAGTAAAGGGCCTATCCAGTTTTTCTCCACGTAGCTGGCGTCATAGATTTTATTCCACTCGTCTTGAATCCACGTTGTGAGGTTAGTGAGGAAAAAATTCATGAACTAAAACGACAATGATACAAACACAAGAGCTCGGTTTGCTGTTTCCTTCCTGTTCGGTGATATAATTCTGTGTAAAAACCACGTGACTTACAGTGTACATCTTTCTGACGTCGAGCGACTTCACAATGTTTGTAAAAAACTCAAATCCAATTTCATCCAGCGCAAATGTAGCGAGGTAACAGATAACTAGCAAAGAGAAGAACGTTAAAATATACAAATGTTTTTTTTTTAAACTTAACAATAGCAACAAATTATTCTTCAGCAGATTATTCACTCACTGACAAACTGGCTGCGGTCACCTCTGGATATCCATGTGTAATTTTGGTCATAGAAAACATCAATGACTGCATCTAGTACAGATTTGTACTCACTGCACCCAGAGATGATATCGAGAATGAACATCTTATGTTCAGGATCCATGTTCTGGAAAAAAAAAAAAATCATTCATCTTCTACTAATAACATACTGATGATAACATTCCGAACTTGTTTTGACCTACGGCGAATATTTCTCCCCATGGCACACCACCAAACAAAAAATGTAATGGAATATAATAATCTTCTAGTTCAAATTTACACTCAATTTACTAAAATCTCAGACTGTTTAGTTGAAGACGATCCTGATACACCTGTAGGAATTGAAGAAAAGATCTTCAACAGCTCAGATTCTATTTTTTAGTTTTCTTAGCCATCTGCTACCACCTAGCGGGCATTGACGGACAAAAAAATATTTGCAATAAATAAATAATAGTTTTAGGTCCAATTCAGTGAAATTGGACAATTTTCCTCGGCATCGTTTATGATCTCTCACGCCCCACTGGTTGGGAACCATTGCCTTAAATTAATGATCTTTCTGTAAGGCATGAGAACTAACCACTCTTCCACTGCGTGAGCTCTTACATAAATGACACAAAGCAGAATTATTTCTACATCATCAAATCTTCTGGCCCCGTGGCAGACAATACAAGGACTGAATGGTATGGAAAACTTTTAAACTTTATCAAAGTTTTTGTGTTAAATTTATGAAATTAAATATCCACAGTAGCCACCCCAAAACTAAATGACTTACCTCCAAGTCTTCCGAAGCATCTTTGATGAAGTCATCCAGACATTGTCTGCCATTGCAAAAAGTATCAAACAGTGCTATGGCCTTCTTTACCAGTGTTTTTTCCTTGGCTGTTGGCTCCTCGCCTTTGGATTCAACCCCGGATGCCATTTTACAACAATAACCTTGGTGTGTCTATGAGTTCTGCACAAAGTTAACAATTAAAAGCTGATGGTGTTTTACACCACAGAACCACAGTAATATTGCATTACTGTATTCATTTCTTGTCCAAGCCTCGTTGAAATCCTAGCTGTGCCTCTCTGTGAGCAGCAGACAGGAGTTGAAATGCATTTCCATTTTGTCCATTTCTCTCTCTTCAAATCGTCTTGTTGAAAAGTTTTGGTGAGCAAAACAAGGATCCACTGGAACTTTGATGTCCGTGATCAAAGGCTGACGGAGCTTTTTCTCCGGCTTGTTTGTAAGCGTTGCCGTGTTCATCCGTTGCTTAGCAACAAACTACCGTCAACAGAAATGTGAAGCAATCAAACACAAATATTACATCAACATTAAAATAATTTAAAAATTGATGAAGTCATTTAAATTATTTTTTTTTAAAAACACTTTAAAAATTGATGAAGTCATTTAAATTCTTTTTTTTAAAAAACACATCTTTGATAATTCATCAATCTGTTATTGACTTCCAAAACACATTATTGACGTCATGTACTCTGACGTATGTTTGTGAGTTATGTTCAGGTGTCGTCGGAAACGCTGCAAGGTATGCATCACAAGATCGGAGTGAGTGATAGGAGAAGAAAAAAATGTAAAAGACTGGAATTTGTCTTAATAGTAAATAGTAAATGGTTGCAACAATGGTTACTGTCGTCCTCAATAAACGAATGAAAACATGGGAAACGAGAACATCCCTTCAGTTGGTTTCACACTTTGACATTGAAAATAAACCCCCAGACTATCACACAGAGAATATGCAACGAATGATTTAAATAAAACATTAATAATTAATCGAATAACAACCATATTCACACAGTGCAAGTTTGCGCAGTATACAATATTTATTAACGGATTAGTTTTTCATTACATTTGCTCTGTGTGAGATCTAGCTACGCGCAGGGGTGAGGTTTAATATTCCTCACCCCGTAAATTTAATTCCTAGCATGAATGAAAACATACCTGATAGTCGTCTGGTATTCAGTGTAGAGAATATGCACAAAATAATACAATCATCTATCAGTCTAACCGACCTCAAATTCCTAATGTGGAACTTTTTTTTTGCGTACAACCAGAAAAGTTTCCAGGCTATCTGATGTTTACATATGTCAAATAGTCAATTTAGATTGTTCAAACAAACTATAAGATTTATTTTCAAATCAATGTTTTATTTATAGACGGTTGAAAAACATCAATATGAATGTGTTTTGTAATTTTTAAGAGATTCTTGGTTCTAAAACAGTTTCGGACCCACGGCGATTACAGAGTACAGTATTTTGGAGCAGTCCCTGAAGGCATCACTGGCTGGGAAAGTGGGCGGTGAATGTTTGTTAAAGTGACTGTCATCCAGTAGCGTTCAGGGGCCAGAGAACACAGAGCTTCAGAGCTGTCGCTGCTCCGCCACTGTCAGGACCTGGAAGTACAGGCAACCACACTGGGGAGACAGGCAGCTGAGAGCCGGGGAGAAGATGGGAATAAATCGCTCTTTTCGAATATCTCCTCTGTAGCGGTCAGGGAAGAGTGGTGTTTTTGTATATTCTACTCTATTTTCCAGTGGCGATAGACAGAAGCAGCGGCGTTAGCTTAGCTTAGCAGACAGCCGCTGGTGGTGGCAGACATACAGGTACAGGAGACGGGAGAGGAGGGGTTTGGTGACAAAGGAAGGTGGCGAGGAAACGATGAACCGCTTTCGGAAGTGGCTCTACAAGCCCAAGGTAAGTCATGCTGGATGGAGACGCAGTGTCAGTTCTGCAGTCAGTCATGTTTAAGTGCAGTGCTTTAGACGGAGCTAACGGCAGAAGAGTGAGTGAGTGAGTGAGCTGGATGTATAGTCTGGTCACTCCACACTGTAGCTCAGAGCTGCTAACGTTAGCCTGTGTTCATAGCGTTACTGAATCTGAGCGGCAGCAGCAGCAGCAGCAGCAGCAGCAGGAGCCTCTTTGTTGTTGTTATGGGCTCTTTTGTTTTCCAGCGTTCATGTGGCATAACAATGGTACAGACATGTTTATGCTAGCTGACACACTGCTGTTGTCATTGTTTAACACGAGTTTAATAATAATAATAATAATAAAACATTTAAAACACTAATATCGCAATAATAACAACATGAACAGATATATAAATGCTAAATTGCAAAATGTTGTTATTGAATGGCAGCATTCACTGTAATAATAAAAATGTTTTTAATCATTTTTTGGCTTAAAAATTAGATTGATTTTAGCTTTTATACAACAAGTTCTTATCTACTATAATTGGTATAATTGTATGATAATGTTAACATAAAATATTTGTAAAATAGATTTAAATATAATACAGCTTATTTTACAGAAAGTGCTTGAAATTAAAATACGGAAACAAGTGACTTTTTTAAATAGGTATTGTTAAGGAAATAAGACTTTAGTCGGAAAAGGAATGAAAATTTAACACAAAATACTTAGGAAAAAACACCGGTTAAAATGCTCTACGATATTTATAAAATACTTAAGGAATGAAAATTTAACACAAAATACTCAGAAAAAACACCGGTTAAAATGGTCTACGATATTTATAAAATACATCATTAAATAATGGGTAAATAGTTAAATAAAAGATAAAATTATGCAAAGATTTTATTATTTAATTCATTTTTTTTTTATAAAATTCAAAATTGCCCACATTGTCAGAAAAAAAAGTAATTGTTTCATAGAATTTCACCGTTAGGCATTATTTGAGTGTCATATCATCTGAATGAGGTTGAATAAATTAGATATTTCTTGCATGCATTTTCATGTCATTAAAAAAAACTACTGGTTAATTGATCTGTTCAGTAATGAATAGTTCTATTTACAGTGTAAAATAGCATTTAATCCTAATTTGTTTTCTCTGCTTGAGAGTATCCAATGCAATTAAATGTAATCAAACCACAGGCAAACAAAAGGTTAACTGTTTGTCACGTTGATTAAAATACCATATTTGATTTATTACACCATGTAGTGGAACAAAGGATTGTTCCTGCTCTGCAGCGTGGCAGAGACGGCTGTTAAAAGAAGCCTCCAAACTGCATCCAATCAGATGCTGCTCAGGCCCACGACGGCAACATCATCAGTTTTTGAGTCATTGCTCGTGTGTGTGTGTGTGTGTGTGTGTGAATGTGCTGCAATTCTTCAAGTCAAGCTCACAGTGTGGAAACACACCTGACACAGCAGAAGGGGTATTGAAGTTTCAGCTGCCTTGTTAAACAAACAAATTAATCTATAGTAAATTGAAAGATGAGCGACTGTAACTGTTCATCAGGCCACGCTGCAAAACTCCTGAGTGTGTTCATCCAAACACGTAGAGGCTATGAATGTAGATCAGGCCGTAAATAATCAATACGCAATCATTTATTTGGTGCAGCAGCATCATAAAAAAACATCAGCATTTCTGTGGAGCAATATGTAAATGTGAAGTCTCAGTTTTCACAAACATAATGGATTGAGGAAATTATACTAGTTCTGCTGCTGACAGACCAAAGTCTGGCCTTAAATTTGACTGTAAATTTGACTGTGAGTTTAAAGCCTGTAAGTATCTGCCTTTAACACCCTGTCTGCCTTAGTCCTGCTCTCAGAGATGGTTCATTATTAACATAAAAAAAAATCTGTCAGAGTAAACTCACCATTCAAGATAATTTAGTCTCTTATGTTGATCAGACAGCTTGACAACATCATAGCTTCTGCTGGCAGCATTTCCAGGTTCCAAAATTTCTGAGCCTAAACAAGAGGTAGTTCTGTCATTGACTCAACACCTCTCAACATCACACCTCACCAAAAGGAGGAAAAGTGAAGAACTGTTTACTTCTTGCTGTAGGCAAATTGCGAACCCTACTGAGAATACACTGCTTTTCCACTGTAGTGTTGCGTCAAGTCAGCACTTCCCAAATTTTTTTCCTGAACCAGGTTGATTCACCCCAATTCTCCACACCATCAAAAAAAAAAAAAAAGAAGCTGAATAGGAGGAATACAGTGGAGTTATAGTTTGACTTGTAGCCTCAGTCGTGTCAGACCAGGCTTAGTGGAGATGCTATGATTGCATATCATCCTCCTGGCCTTCACCACACACACACACACACACACACACACACACACACACACACACACACACACCTGCGTCATTCCTCTTCTGTCTGTGAAACCACGTTTGCTGTCACAGCAGTTTTGTGGTCCATTGTTTGTGTTTTGCCCAAGTGTTGAGGGTTCACCACAGTATTGTCGTGTTCATGAATGACTGTTGCCTCTGACATGCTGTGCTGTTACATCAGCGCTCCTTCAGCGGTGGTAGGACTTAACAGGGAGTTACGCACAAGTCTGTGGGTTTTAAATAACCAGTTCTCTCTTGAAGTGAGTGAAAAGTGCCAAGAGCCGTGTGCTGCAACACAAAAAAGAGAACTTTTATTCTTCTTTACGTCGTAGGGATACCTTTTTGGTCCAGGGAGAAAATAAAATATGAGCTCATTCTGGCAGTTTTTTCTGGCAGTCCTTGTCAAACACAGCGTAGCGAGGTTTATTATTGAACTGTGCTCTTCAGAAGATAAAAAAGGTGATGAATCAGCATGTCCTCCTCACTGACGTGGATCTATTCTTATTTCCAGAGCTGCTCTTTACCAACCCAGATTAGTCTGTTTTGAGGAGAACCTACTGTTGCCCCTGCTACACCTTCTATTCCCTGTGTATTTGGCACTGTTGTGTACCTTGGTCAGGACACCGTGTACCTGGATGTAACATCCATGCTGCTCTGTCATTATTCAGTTGGTTGTTTTTTTTTGTCTGACCAATGATTTACTTATTGAAACTTATGGTACAAAACTATGGACCGATGGTTCACAAAGTGGGGGGCGCGTCTCCACACGGGTTTAGAACAATTAGAATAAGGCAAGTTAATTTTAAATTAATCTTTTTTTTTCTGCTTTCCAAAAGAACATCGTTTTGGTCGGAGTTAAATTCAGCTTTGAAGTAATGGCTGTTCCCCAACTCTCTACAGTTTATACCTACTTTTCAGTTGTTCATTTTTTATTTGCTTGCATCTGAGACGAACATCCATTTCGGACGTTATAAGAGCTCAAGCTAACGACAGGAGAACTACTTTGGTTACTTGCATTTCCCGCAGTCTCAAATATGAGACCTGGCTCAGGTTTCTGAGCAGGCAAAATGGCCACTGTCTGGTGTTCCGTCAGCTCTCGTTCATCAGGGTCGAATGTGCTGAGTGACGGATGGCAGATGACAAAAAATATCAGCAGCCAAAACCTGCATAAACCATCCCTGTAGCCTGTGTTTCTTTGTGGCTCTCGTCCCGTCAGTTGTTCAACAGTTGACCTTCAGCTCCATGCTAACTCATCTGTCAGTGTGACAGGTTGGCTGCTCTCAGCCACATCTGCACGATGCTTTTAATTTGCCTTGCGTTTCATCCTCTCCCTATCGGACAGTTCCGAGTGTGGGTAGTTGATGGTTTAAGTCCAAGTGTCAGAAACCTTTGTGCAACAATGCAAGTGTGCAGGATGTTGTAGGAAGACGAGCAACACCGATACCAGAGTGTTCTGATAACACCCAACAATGCTAGGGGTGTAAGAAAAATATTGATACACTGAAATAAAGTGACACTTTGTTTCACAATACCATATCAATGTTCCACAGCACTGTATGGATTTTTTTTTTTATTAACAAATAAAGGGCAAATATTCATGGCGTTGTTTCATTTTATTTTGCTTTTATTTCTTCTTTAGCGCGTACAAATGTAGATCCTTCTGCTGCAGTTTTACTAACCTGACGTGAAGCCTGTAACAGCATTGTGTGTTTACTATGCTAATAGTTTTCCTGCAATGAAATGATTTAAACATAACTCTATATTTCCTCTTGTCTATAGTATCACAATATATCGTATCGTTGCCCCCGTGTCGTGATACGTATCGTCTTGCCAGATTCTTGTCAATACACACCCTTTAATGATGCAGAAGAGATAAGAAAATAACATGGAATAAAATGATTTATTTTTTATATTTGTGACCATGAATTTTCTAAACTCTTTTGTTTTAACTTTGTTTCAGAATTTGTTTTTACATTAAACATTTTTTTTTCTGTTGAAGAACAGTGTTCTGACTGCATACTAATTGACACACGCCCAAAGATAACTCGTTCTCACACCACCATATGATGTGTTTAAGATGTGTTTGTCTGCATTGTGACACGGAAAATCAGACATGTGACGGCTGACAGTTTCAACAAAGAAACACATTTTTACTTATCGTCTACCAGAGCGTCTGATTGCCCGTGGCAGGATGTGTGGGTTCTGCTCAGAATATGTCGTCTGAATTGGTTTCATCTGGTGATGATTCATGGTCGCAACAAGAAGAAAAAAAATACAGTTGTACGCAAAGACATACGCATAAAGAAATGTGAGCTTTGGTCACAGCAGGTTTTTAGGTTTCACATTTCCTTTGATTTGCTTGGTAAACACTGTCACGTTAAATGTAAACATCTAATTGTCATTGATGGATTTGTCTTTTTTGGCCACTTCATCGATGGTCTCCACAGAGAATCATCTCCGTTCTTCACAATAAGTCCTCTACGGTTAAACCAACCGTCTTCGTATCCTCCTCGGTCCGTCAGTCTGCCTTCTGCCTGGCAGCTCCATATCTAACGTTCCCTGAATTCTTTATTCTTTTTCCACATCGCTCAACTTTGTGCCTCTAATTTGATCTCCAAAA